AGCCTGCTAAACTTGGATTTAAGATTGATTTTTCAAATTTACAAGGATCCAATTGGATACGTCCATGCAGGTGAAGTACCCCAAGAAGAATCAATGCATTCCCCGGTATCTTACACAAACACATGATTTCGATCACCAGAAGCGAAGCCAAACTGTGACCCAATAAATAATAATAGCCTGAAAATGATATTTTGTTTGTTCTTCATATAAACGCCAAATGAATATACTGACACAGCATGTTCAGAAGTAGCCTTTCCGAAAGCAATCATATATAATTTCTGGAGAAAAATAAAATTTAACTCAACAAGGCTTCTTCAAAATCACACATTGCAACAGGATCATTTGAAATCTCATCCTTAAACGTTCTTAATTTCATCTCGTTTCTTGCCCACTTTCTTTCGCCTCGTGCCATTTAGAGAAGCATCTCTGCAGACATTAGTTAGATCATCTCCACTATATCCCTCCATCCTGCGAGCAACTTCAGTCAATATTTATATCAGCTATCACATAGATTCTTAATACATGGTTTATTATTATGTGAAGGGATTTCCTTCAAACCATCAAATGGATTCTTACTACATGCTCAATTACATGGTTTATTATTAAGTTGATAACATCTATTCCCAGACCTTCCAATTGAAGATCTCATTGGGCTGGGATTATCAATGACATCATTTGCCAGTAAGTTACTCAAAACTTACAAATATAAAAGTAAACCAAAATATTTTACTCAAACAATGTTACAAGCTGAGAGAAAAAATAATAAACATCTATTCCTCGACCTTCAATTTGAAGATCTCATAGAGCTGGGATTATCAATGATCAGCATAGCCAGATCCTCAAGATTTGCAATTATGAAAAAAAATGAAACATCTTACTAGAACATGTTATAGGCTTAGAAAGAAATGGATAACATCTATTCCTGGACCTTCCAATTGAAGATCTCATAAAGCTGGGATTATCAATGACATCATTGCCAGAAATTTCCTCTCAACGCTCCATATTTTAAGAGTAAAATAAAATACGGTGTACTCAAACAATGTTATAGGCTCAGAAAGAATTCCTAGACCTTGTATTCGAGGATCTCATCGAGCTGGGATTATCAATGAAATTATTTCCAGTAAGTTCCTCAAGACTCAAAATTATAAACATAAAATGAAATATCTTCTTGGACAATGTTATAAGCTTGGACATAAAATGATAACAAATAATCCTGGACCTTCCAATTGAAGATCACATAGAGCTGGGATTATCAGTGACATCATTGCCAGCCAAGTTCCTCTAGACATGAAATTATAGAAGTACAACTTTACTAGAATGTACAGTAACAGAGAGAGGCATGGTATCATTTCTCCTCCCATTAATTCATGGCCCCCATTTGGTTTTTCACGAATTGTAATGAGATGAGGATGCGATTTCCATTTAATAAAATTCAGATTTTGATTATTATGAAATGCAATCTACATGGCTTAAACAGAGTAATTTCCTCAACTACGATTACTCATTTTTATAGGATTACTTTATACAGCAAGACTCCAAAACAAAACAGAATAGCATATTTATTAATAGATCATCATCACTGTTCTTGATTTTTTTTTAAAAAAAGAACCTCTCAAAGCTCTCGACTTTCTACGCAAAAGTCATGGTTTTACCTCAAAAGTCCATCTGGGTCACAAGGAAACCAAGCACTTCGAAGTGCAGTCCGGCGATCACAGGATTTAAACCCGGTTTGAGCCCCAACAAACCCAAGAAGTTTAGGCCTGTCAATCAATTCTCCGTCTACCCGAACCAGAATAAAATGCTCGAAAAGTGTCCTCAGATTTGCTACAACGAAAAACTGGAACAGGTTTGAGCCTGCAGATCTGAGATAGCGATCCCAGAAAGGCCAGTGAGAAGAGATATCAGTGAAAAGACTAGAAAAGGTAGAGGGTAACGGGTTGAGGGAGGGATAAAGTTGGGTTTTGAGGCTTTGGGATTGTTGGTGGTTGGGATGGCGGAGGAGAGTCAGAGATGTAGCGGTGGGAAAAGTGTGGCATTTGATTTGGTGGAGAGCTACCGTGTTCGGTTGAACTGGAAGAGCGGAAGTGCGAAACAGGAGTAGAAGCAGGGTTCCGAGGATGTTGTAAAAAATTTCACAACTAACAATGCTACGCTGTGATTTAATTTATGTATTTATTTTTCTGCACAATGAAATAAAGTTAAAAACATAAGACCTGTACTCTCAGTCTCAGGGCAGAGCATTCTCAAGGGAGCATGAAGCAGGCTCTGAAATACAAAACCCGAGGGCGTTGGATAGTTTTTGCATGAAGCATGGTTGCATCTAAAGCATCCAAACAAAAAGGACATCATTAGCTACTTTCACAGGTGAAAAGCAAAAGCAAAAACGCTTAAGAAGCCAAAAGACCAACTGATCCCGTTCAAAGAGGTTTTAGAAATATCCTCGTATTCTGGGGGCAGAGAGTTGCTTGTTTGTAAAGAGGGAGGGGCAGGCGGCTAAGAAGCGGGATTAGAAGGAAAATTATTTTATAAAAGTATTTTTTAATTTTAATTAATTTTAAAAAATATATTTTTAGTTAAAATAATAGTTGAAATTAAGATTAAATAAAAAATAATTTAATATATTTAATTAAAAAAATATTTTTTAAATTGATGTTATAATATATATATACACACATATATATTAATGGTTTTGAATTTAAATATTGTAAATTTCACTACTGTTATTATATTATAAAATAAATAATATTGATATCGAATATTTTTTATTATTTTATTAAATTATGTGTAATTTCATTATGTACAAAATCTATTCAATAAAAATGATATTTTTTATGGTTTATTAAACGCACAACAACATCAGGTAAAAATATTATCAAAAATAAAATTTGAATTGCGATCAAATTCTGCAAATATTATATCATCAAACAATCTCTTTCTAATTTTTTTGAATGAAAAACAATTAAAAATAAAAATAAAAACTAAATTTTTTTAACTAGGTAAGACCCGGCAAGAACAAAATTGGGATTGCGATAAAATTCTGCAAATACTACAATCATTAAACGATCTCTTTCTGATTTTTTAATAAAAAAATTAAAAATAAAAATAAAAACTGAATTTTTTTAACTCGGTCAGACTTAGCAAAAATAAAATTGGGATTACGAACAAATACTGCAAATGCTACATTATCAAACGATCTCCTTCTAATTTTTTTTGAATAAAATACAATTAAAAATAAAAATAAAAATAAAAATAAATTTTTTTTAACTGGGTTGGACCTTGCAAAAACAAAATTAGAATTGCAATCAAATTCTACAAATACTACATTATTATTTTCCTTATAATTTTTTTAATAAAATATAATTAAAAAATAAAAATTAAATTTTTTTAACCAATGATTTAATACATTTAATTTGGGATGAGATCCGATCGGTCCAAAACAATAACATGAAAAGTGAAAAGTAGCTCCACTAGTTTCACTATTCATGTAAACAGTAAAGTTACCTTTCATTGTTCAGTGAAATTGAACTCACTCTCCGCTGAGTTCCATAAGTTTGAGGAAAGCAACAAGTAGCTGCTTTCTATTTTCACTTATTCCACATAAATATTAAATTATAGGTTTTTTGTTATTAAATGTTTAAAGGCTGTGGTTTGCTTTAAAACAATCCAAACCATGTAAACAAGCATCCATATATATATATATATATAAAGTAGGTATTTGTTTGTATTTTTAAAGTATTTTTAATATATGTTTAAATAAAAACATATTTTTACACATATTCAATATGGGAGAATGTAACGTGTGGTATCCCTGTACTGTGTGTGAATCGGGTTGGGTTTAGCAGGTTTACAAGATCGTGATCCGTAATCTACCTCCTCTCTGTACTTTTACAAACATAAAATATTTCTCCAAACTATTTTTTTAAGTGCAGTATCAATTGTGCACCTAACTTCACCTTTTCTTTTATCCTCGACATAATTTTGCTTGTTTATACTTTTAAAAAATATATTTTTTTTATCTTTACAAAATGATCATTTATTACAAAAAAAAAATTAAAGAAAAAATGGATAAAAAACCTTTAAAATAGATGGAAAACATTCATTGAGGATTACTCAAATTTAAAAAGTAAACATTCATTGTTTACTTTTTATAGTTCTTTCATTGCCAGGTTCTTTCTCGTCTTTTTCTTTTTGGTGTGTTTGTCTTGGTCGGTGTTCCTTTTTTTTTCCGATTAACGTGGGTGTCCGGACCAGTTTACACGTACCACGACTAATTCCATGAGCCCTGAAGTTAACGACCATGTAAACCTCCAGTGGCCATCATATGAGCAACCA